ATGTATCTAAATGGTGCTGAATTGAATCAGTGTCTTAAAGGTGGCTGGCAACCAGCTCCCAGCCTAAAAACACAACTACAAACAGCTCAGCTTTTCAGCGTTTAGCAAATGACTGAAGTGCCTCTGTCCCTCTGTTCTGACAGAGTCTTGGAATCATCTTTCCATTTAAGAATTAAATGTGCAAAAAATATGTTTTCCCATTTACAGGCTGATTACCATGTGGGAATTGAGAATTACTTTGTTACCTCTTTGTTGAATAGGGACCATCTTGGTCTTGATCGCACGGACATTAAAAGACACAGCTGGTGGCCTTCAGGACATAACCCCTTATGCCTACCAGTAGGTGTTGGAAAATCAGGCCCTGAAGACTGAGGAGAAATCCCAGTTCAGTCTAGATGTGTACACTGGGCAGGTTTGTGCTAGCTGTAGTCACTGTCTGCATTAAGAAAGTGGCAGTTTCAGGAACTAAACAAAACCAAAGTAATCTTCAAAAAGGGAAATGGCAAAATTTGGTTGTACTGGTCCTGTAGCTACGGGGTTGAATTTGGGGAAGAGGACATACAATAGGGCTGTTTTCACTTCCCTGACATTTTGAAGCCTTCACACTGAATTAAAAGAGAAATTTTTCTTCCTCCAAGTTCGTCTTCCTGAATTCAAAGCATTCATTGCATTAGCTTGTTGAGTACTCTCTTCAAGTCTTTCATCGTGACTAAGATTTTGGATTTTAAATTATTTAAAACAAATTCCTAGCAAGATGAAAGGAATCTTAATGGAAATTGTTTGCAATGAATGGTGTTGCAACCATTTTAGTTATTGACTTTTCCAGATTTCTGTATGAGCTATGTATTTTTTTTCTCCCCACACTTCTTGCTTTATTTAGCTACACCTCTCTTATGCGGTACTGTATCTTTAATTTGGGTGACCATAGGATTATACCAATGGCCTTTCTCTCTCAGCTGGGGATTCATTCCTCTCTACTTACACAAGGTTTGCCCGCACTGTTGTGCACCCCAGTTTAATGATATTTAAAGGTGAACGCAGCCTCACACGCTGACATTAATGATATCCGTGACTCAGCAAACTACTCCAACCACATTTTCCATCTTAGGCAGGACACTAAGATTCAGTTTAGCCAGGGCATATAATGCATCTTGCCATGTCTATGTAACGTAGAGAGTGGATTTATTTTGAATGCGTGCTCATTTAGAAATATATTTTAATTGAGATGTTTAGTGCTTTATCTTACTTTTCTGCTGTGCAATACCATAGCGTGTTCTTTGCCATTTTTTTTTTTCCTAAGACTTTTATGAAGTTTTAAATGTTTCTTTGAGTTCCAATGTGTTTTTCACTTGGATCTGTTCTGGTAGTATTAAAGCATTTTCCTTGCCTTGAGCTAACCAGAAGCAGCAACAGCACATTGCACAACCCAAAATCTTTGCAAGTCGTGCACCCTGATGTTCACCAGCAATCTGGGACTCCTGGGAGGTGAAGAATGCTTCTCTGTCGAGTACCTAATTTGCACTTACTGTAAAGAATGGAGAGCAACGCAGGGAAATGGGAATAAACTAGCGAGAAGAGCCCTCACCTGCTCCCGCCAAGCTCCACAGTAGTTTTGCCATCAACTTTCACAGAAACAGGCCATAAAAATCAGATCAGCTCTTCAGCTAGCACAGACTGTTGCTGCTTTCTGTGGAGCAGAGCGGGCAGCTCACAAGTGGTTTCTGAGAGGTTGGCTCTGGGGATGGGGTTTAATCCACCTCTGCGATGAACTGTTTTAATGTAGGAACCTGACCACTGTGTAAAAGGCCTCTAAAATACATTCAGCTTCTGGAATTCCTGCCCTTATGTTTTATTGGAAAGCCATTCTCCTCCATGTTTACAGCCTCTGTCTTACTCAAGATTACATTCCATTCTGGTGTCTGGTGGTAGAGGGGTTTAAACTACTCCTAGTTTCTATGACTGCATTGAAACCAAGCAATTCAAAGGTGCTATAATTGTCCACAAAGCACATTCCTATCCATACAAGGAAATGTTGACTTTTTCACTAGTTATTTTACACAGTATTTTTTTATTTATATCTGTGTGTTTCGTATGTGTGCAAATGGTCCCAGCTTCTCTCATTGTAATAAGGTTTACAACCATTCGGTCTTTTGTGGGGCAGCCATATGCAGTATCTTGCAATCAAGTGTAATTTCTTAACTTAGAGCAAGAATAAATCTCATCTGACATGATGAACTCATTTGTGACAGGCTGTAACGTTTGTTGTAAACACAACCTGTTTGTTCCACCTCTTGCATGGTTACTTACCTGTTTTCATATTGCTATGTTATTGTTCAAAAATATCTATTTCTCTTTATTTGCTATGAGTTTTGTTACTGTATATGAAATGTTTTGTATTCAGCATTTTCTTACAGAGCAGAGTGGGAACCGTATTCAAGAACCCACGAATACCAAAGACCTTTCATGTAATGCACTGAGAAATAAACTTACTGTAAATGAGTGCGACAGCACGTGTCCTGTGTTCACAAAGTTCAGAGCAAGTTCAAGCAAACTGCATCCTGAAATTAGGGTGTCTGACTTTCCTTCCTGCTGTCTTAACTGTCCCTGTCTATATGTTTGCAGGTCTCTCAAAAAAAACAAGGTTTTGCATAAAAACCCTGCTTCTGGTCATCTTCCGTGGGGCAGAAGGGCAAAAAAAGGGCCTTCGCTAACCAAAGCCAAATCTGGCAGCATCCGTGCCCACGATGGGACTGACTCTTCTGCAGCTAGTGCTAGACTGCTTCAGCAAGCACGACTGCCACCTCAGAGGTTTGAGATTTGTCTCTAGGATGCACTTAGTCACTACTCTGCATTCCCAGCCACTGTAACCAAATTCAGGGGCACATCCTGACTTCCTGGTGAGGCATTTAACTCCAAAAGCAGCCTAGGGCAGTCTGGGAGCAATGTCAGCTTTGAGCACCTCACTTTGCATTGCAGAGCAAGGCACTACCTGGATCTGACAGCTTCTTCCTACAGGAGCAGCCCTCCCGCTCCTCCAGGAGTTTGACTCCAGCACAGACGCAGGGATCACAGCTTTCCCTTGGCTCAGCCAGGGCACTCCGAGGATGGGCTGGCCGCTGCAGGCTGCGTGACAGGGAAACGATCCAGAGAAAGAAATGTGCAGTGCTTAAGAGCATAAATTCTGTTGTTATTTGCAACTCTCCTCACTTCCTCCAAAGTTTCCTTACAGCTCAAGGAAGTCACATTGGCTGATGTAAGACAGCAACGGCTGCTGGGGCCCCCTCCCTGCAATCCCCTGGTGCCTCTGCAGCCTCACTCTTCACTTCTTCTCTAAATTTACCCCCCCATCATCACCTTATGACAATTCAAATGTCAGCAGAGGATGTGGGTAGGGACTTTTTCTTTTTTTAACCTGCCTACCATGGGAACAACTGAGAGGTGGGTATCTCTGCAAAGGGAGGCTTTACTCAGCGTGGGCCTTGGCTGTAGGAGAGGGCCTGGGCTGTTTCTGTCAGACATGACAGTTTTGGTTTCTGAACTTGTTTTGTTATATCCTAACAAAAACAGGAGATACATAAATTGCAGCCAATTTTTTTTCCCTTACTGATCAGATTACACTGCAGATATGCAGATACCAATATTAGCAAAGGCTGAGTCTTGTAAACACTGGGAAATGTCCACAGTGTCAAGGCCTCTCCTTCATACAGCTTTTTTGCATCACTGATGAGGACATACTCAAGGTTACTTGATGCCAAACACTCCCATGCAGCACTTCTCTGGGTCTCTCAGGATGTATTTATCTTGGTTTTTGTGGCCTAATACCTCCAACTGATATATTTATCCTTGCAAAAAGTCCACTGAGGGAAGGCAGTTCTGTTAATCACTACTGTACAGATTGGGAGTTGCTGGATAAAAGGCTAAATTAATTTATCGGGACGTCTGTGGCTGTCTTGGCCTGCCAAGCACCAAATTAGCATCAGGCCCATATGGTCTCTGGGCTATTATGGCCACTGATTGTAATCACAGCAAGGGGAAACGGCGCTTTTCCTAACGCTTAACACAGCACAAGAAAAATCAATAGTAGAGTTATTGGAATTTCTAGCAGGAGCTGATTAAAAAAATAATATATTCACACACACACACATATACACACAAACAAAGCACAGTTACTCTTTGAACACTGTCTTAACTCTTCATTAAGTACGTGCTCAGCAGCAAGTTGCTATACAGCTTACTTTGTAAAGCCAGATAAACCTTAACACTAGAGTACAAATGGCTCCAAGATTGCTCTCCACATTTCAGCCTGTTGTACATAACCAGAGAAGGGCTACCAGGCCTAGCGAGGAAGAAGTGTATTAGCTGGCAGATAAAAAAACCAACAGTGCACTCTTTTAACAATGACTATAATTAACCAAAGAAGAGTTCATTCAGGAAAGCCATACTAGATAATCAGACTGGTCAAGCTAGTGACTGTAAAGATGCAGATGACCATTCCTGGCCCTGCCTGTATTGTGCACGCTGTGGCTCAGGACAGATCTGCTGCCCGACACAATCTGTACAAATTCACTAGTGCATGGGAACAACTTTTTTTTTGTTTTGGTAGCTTCACACTAGAAAGTCGCTGCCCTAAGCACATCTCTAGACCACAACACCTTTGCGCAGCAACCAGAGAGGTCCGGGTACAATAACTGACAACCCAGCCCATGGGAAAGGGCTGTCCAGGATGGGAAACTTCTGACATCAAAATTTTGGACTGAGACTGGCCACATAGCAAGGGAAGCTGGAGTTGCCCCACTGATCACGTGTACCGTGGCAGAATGGAAAGGCTGAGACCAGACTTGACCTGTCTGTAGCGCTGGTACATCTGTGACAGTGCTTGTGGGACTGTGCCAGTGAAAACCTGGTCTGTATATGACTGGATGGAGTTAATGTTCAGCCAGTAACCTTATTTGACAGTTAAACTTTAGACTTAGTTCAGAAAACATACTGACTGAGAGATTAACAGTGCACGATAGGATCTTGGCAGCAACCTTCTCTCTACTTCTCAACCACAAAAAACATCTTCAGAAATGGATAGAGCCTGGGTCTACCTGGTGACAGGAGGATGTGGTTTTATTGGGGAGAAGATCGTCGAGCTCCTGTCTCAACAAGACTACATCAAAGAAGTCAGAGTTTTTGATTCAGTAGCAAGAAAAGAAGTAGAAAAATTCACCACAGGTAAGAAAAGAGCGTCAGCTTCTATTTAGCGACCATAACCCTCCCTGTCAAGACAGCTGGTATTACGTTGGAGATGCCACAGCTACAGGCATTGGGTAGGAACCTGTATTAAACAGACTGTATGAAGAATAATTTCCAGCTAGAGAGGTTTTTCAGCACAGGACTAAATCAAGGCAAAAAGATCCATAGTGTGTAACCCCAGGAGATGTATCCCAGATAGGATCTAAGTCCTGACTTGGGGATCAGTTGCAGAGCAAGTACCTGACATGGGTACTTGGCCACCTGCTTGCTCAACCAGTCTGACTGTCAGCAGAGGAACAGAAAAACCATGCTCCTGAACTGCTCCAATCAGTTACCAGTGCTGAGAACAATAACCAAAAATCCTGACGATAGCAGAATCAAACTCAGCATCTGCTGCAGATATTTTGAAATAAATTACTGAAGTAATTGAGAGAAACCTGTAGCCTTACTGTGCTGTGCATAAAGAAAAGGAAGAGGTGAGCCTCAGTAAACGTGTTCAAAGATATTAAATGCATCCATTTGATCATATTCTGAAAGCTGCCTTCTGGTGTTTCACCAGTATTGACTACAGTGAGATTATGTCAGGGAAAAGCAATCTGTGTTACCGAACTAAAGAACACTCACCCCACACAAGCCAATGCAGCTCATGGTGCTCTGCACAGTTATGGTGGGCTGGGTCCCCCTCTCTCCAACTGCCCAAACCTTCAGCCAGCTTCAGATGAGAAAGGAAAAAAAATTCTGTTGGGAGATGTCAATAAAAAGGAAATACACTGAAAGCAAGTTATAAGCCTCTCAAGGAAATATCACCATCAGAATTCCCTCCTAGGCAGATGGACTCACTAGACTGGTTTGCCTAGGCTTCAGGTGGCCAATTGCCTTAAAAACATCCATAATTGAAAAAAAAACCACCCAAACCTCTTTAAACCTTAAGGAGCTGCCACAATCTGTACTGCAGGAGAGGTTTGTGGCCTAACATGACAGCAAATCACAGAAAAGCCAGGCAGAAGCATCCCTGAAGGGGCATCCCAATCTTTGCCCCCCCGTCCCTTCACCCGAAGGCAGAACCAGCTCAGCCACAACCTTCCCCACAGACGTTTTCTGTCCTGTCCCCAAGGCACCTCAGGTACCCTATTTCTGCACCATCAGGCTATTGCTATTGGTACAGTCAAATCTGCAATTTAAGTCCTTGTCTTCTCATCCCTGGCCCAATTCAAACTCTTTTGCAGAGACGCACCACCTCTTCCCTAGTAAGCCCATCATCTTCTCTCTGTCCTTATCAAATTTCACCTTTCTTTTCACCTTCAGTCCTTCCCAGTCTGATGTTATCTGCTGATTTAATGAACAAATCTGCCAGATTCTTGATGAAAACTAAAAAAAAACCAACCAGAACAGCACTCAAATACAGCAGTAAGCCCAGGAGAGCCCCAGGGCAGCCACCTACCACAGCTGGCAATCCCCTGGGAATTGTAATTCAGCCAGCTTTGTGCTCACTCTTATGTATGTGGCTTACATAGACCATGTTCTACCAGCTTACTTATGAGTATAACACAGATTTTCCCAAAGCCCTTTTAAAATCAAGATAGGTGACACCAACTCATTCCACAATATCCATACAGCCTGTTAACTTGTCACAAGATCAAAGGAAATTTATCTGACTTGATTTGTTCTTGACAAATCCATGTCAGTTGCTTCTATTCTCCTTATCATTCCACAGGTGCTCACACACATGTTTAAGTGTGTGTTCCTGAATTTTCTGGAGTTGAAATCAGCATGTTCTGCAATTTCCTGGCTCTTCTTTACCTTCTTTCTAAGCACAGATGTTTCATTTGCTCTACTGAAGCCCCCAAAAGTTCTCCAGAGTAGCTGATAATGCAATAAAAATAATGCAATAAAACTGCAGTGACATCCATCACCTAAGTAATTGATCACCTCTTTAGTAGCCCTGGATAAAGCCCAGGCCATATCAATTTGAAGGTTTCTCCTGGTTGCCTCATATCCTCCTTGATTTTGACTGAGCTCTCACCATTCACTTGCTAGTCTCAGTTGCACCAGCTGACGTAAGACAAGAGATGGGAAAGAGACTACTTCAACCTGGCTGGTTACAGGCTTTCCCTCACCACTAAGGAGCAGCAAAACCCCCCTGCCATGAGGCTGCTGGCACCCTGCTTCACCTTGCAGCACTGGCAAAGACTTGCAGCAGCAGCAGTGGCAGGAGGAGCATCCTCTGTGCTCTGGTCCTCCAGACATGTGTGTTACCTCTGCTATGTGGGCAGTGCCTTCCTTCTTTTTCTGTTCTGTTCTTGCTGAATCAAGTTTGTGCTTTAATATTAAATCAATCTAATATTAAAATGCCTATGAGCTAGTCCATCAAACTTTGGTTATGCTAATTAAGAAAGCAGTTTGACCCTTTTGTAAAACTTATGCCTCTTCCTATGTGCCATGCTGCTTAGCAAATGCTGAGTCAGCTGGCCCACTATTTTGGGTTTTGTCTCTCCCTTGAGTTTGTGAGGAATAACCCTGTTCTTTTATCTCCATGTCCTGGCAGTTGTTCACTGAGGGTTTCCATATCCTAACACTTCCATGACTGGAGTCACAGACCCTTCCCTGAGCTGCCCATCTGTATGAACCTTCAGAAATCCCTACCCTGACCCTGTGGCTGTGTGAGGCAACCCAGGGAGCTGCCAGCCCAGTGCAGAGCAGACATCTCCTTCCCAAAGCAGTCCTGTGACTGCTGCTGCTGGGTGGCTTGGTGCAAAAGCCCCAAGGAGTACAGCTTCCTAGCCCCAGCCTCCTGCTGAGCTAGTCCCAACTACAGAACACAAAAACGGGGAAAATTCCACTTAAATGTTACAACACCGCCTCAAAGCAAGAAAATTAGCAGTAATGCCAACAGGAACTATGCCTAGAACAGCTATTTTGAGAGAGAAGGAAAGGGAAAAAGAAGAGAGGGAAAAAGAAGAGTGGAAAAAACTTTGAAATGGCTCAAAGGGAGGAATTTCCTATAAAACTTTATAATCTGTTACATTATTTTCCCTTCCCATCTATACTATTTGCAATTTAAATAAAGCTCTGTGCAATGTCCCTTGAACTTGCCTAGTGTTATTTCTAGCAAGCTCTAAAAGTCCGGTCTGAAGGAAATTGTCCAGCACAGCTGCTTCACTCACTCACACATAACTGGTCCAAGCCCAGTAACCAGCTGCAGCTCTGGGCCAGAAGCCTCCCGCCTCTGCTCAGTGCCATCCCTGGGTGCACACTGGAGATTTGCAATGACAGACCCCGTTATTCTGACCCACAGTTGGTGTGAACTGGTGAAGTGCTGTGCTGCATTAGAGCAGGTGCAGATCTGGCTTCTTGGGGCTCAAAAGCAGGGATGCATTTTCCTCTCATGGGATGTATTCAAACGGCGGAGTTAGTTAGAGTGTGCTTCAGCTTGCCCTGCAGAGAAGAAGATTTCCAAACAGGATCCTCATGCTGCAGGAAGGTGGGGATGCTGATTTGTATTTTTTCTTCCCCTGCATCTACAGTTACATTATTTTTCTCCAGCTTCCACTCTTGTGACAGTGATGAAAGGAGACATTCGAGACTACAATCTGCTCCTTGCTGCCATGCAGGAGGTTCACGTGGTTATTCACACAGCTGCTATTGTGGACTACAGAAACACTGTGCCCTTCTGGGAAATGAGAGCTGTCAATGTTGAGGGTAAGCTCTTTAAAACAAGCAATTAAATACAGTCTTAAATTCACATGTCTTGGTGTAATCACACACGAGGTTACAACAAACATATCCTCTCTGATTTAGTGCTTGCTTGTCCCCTGAATTTCACATGCACCACTCTGCTAGGAGGTGAGAAAGGTGCTCGGGACCTTTCCTTTCCAGCCGGAAGGTTTCTGCCTTTGCCCCTCTGTCCTCACTCGGGACAGGCCATGCTGCTCCTCTCCACTGCTAAAGCTTCATCTTCTGAAGTCAAATCTGGATCCAGTTATTATATAGGTATTCTGGTCAAGGGTGTAACTTCCACTAATAGTACTGAGGTGGTTCAGAACATGCCCATAGTGGTAAGAAACTCTTTGGTATGTGACAAGGACAGCTATTAAAAGTTAACTCCTGTTCTAGATAGTGCATAGCTTTTCCAGGGATCTACACTATAAACTGTAAAACCTATTAGTGCAGGACTATACCAGTTGAACTGCATGCACGCTATTAAGGGAGTGATGTTATTTTAGTTATAGTCAGAGTTCACAACTATTACATGTCTACAAGCCATGTATAACTGAGAGCTCCACAACACTTTCCTCCTATCACCATGAGCTGATTTCATGTTAGGTACAAGATCTGCTTAAAGAAAATTTGTTCATAAATCTAGGAAATAAGCACAGGCTATAAAAAAAATGAAACCCCCATTACAGCAGCAATTCCAATGGCACTTCAGGCTGTTAGCCACTAAAATAGTAGTTAACCACAAGGAAAGAATTTTATATATTTTTTTATAAATATCTCAAACTCTATTACTGCTTAGGGCTTCTCCCATTTGCTGATACATTCAAGGGCAACATTTAAATTCCATCCTTCTCTTTGTTGCTGTAGTTGTTTTCAAAACCAGATGCTTTTAAGAGCCTGTATTGTGCACGGACACTGACAATATTCAGAGCCTGAGGGTTCCCACTGCCTTTTTAATGGCTTTGTGAGATCTTCCTCTTCATTGTCTGCTTGCTATGAACAAGGTACTTCAGCCTAGTGAGGTTTTTACTGATAGCAGGGAGCATTGGGCAACTTCCCCATTCAGCAAACAAAACCTCTTGCAGATGTTTGCGACATTCCCAGAAAACCACACACCCAACGTTTTTTCCAGTGTGACTGAGCGTCTCTTCGAGGAGCACAGTTTGAGATGCCTTACTGGGAGCCTTCTTTTCAGACAAATACATCTGCATTTCTGCCTCCCCTCGAATGGCTTCATGTAGACCTCCCTAACATGAGGCTGCTGCCCTCACTAGGACTTCTCAAAATCTCAAATTGAGACAGCAAAGTTTTCTTTTAAAATCAGAGCAGGTGAAAGTTATAAAAGTGATCTGTATTTGAATTTTATTTGCCTGCTGTATATTTAATGGAAAAGAATAGGGTCAGGAGAGGTCAAGTGTATAATCCTCTAGATGGCTGCTCTGTGTAACTCAGGCCACAGAAATACATCCAATTACTGCCTTAAGCCCAACAATTTGTGACTAAATTGGACGATGCCTTTTCAAAAGACTTTTTGCTTAGAATTAAGGACTGCAAGTTAATGGGCTATCTATCATGTCTTTCAGCAAGCCCTAACAATGCTGAAGAATATTAGTGTGGCTAAGGTTAATTACCGTTTCTGGCAAAAATTTGCATCTTCTGCTTTGATTCTTTTCTGTTTGAACCACTGGTTGCCGAATCCTGTTACAGTCGTGTTGAGCACATTGAAGAGCCCTCTTCTACAAGAATTACCTTTTCCTTCTAGTCACTTAAAGACTTTTTAATCCCTTTTTTGTTAAGCTGAATGGATTCTAACTCAGCTGTTTCCAGTGGTGTTTCTCAACAGCGGTTCTCAGTTGACTTTACATATTGTGGTCAGCTCATGGAGAAGTACACTGACTCTCTTCCACTAGGTCTTCATATTGATTCATGCCCTCTGTAATTATCCTAAGATCAGGATTGCTTTGATAATTACAGACTATATGCCTTTAACAACAAAGAGAATGGAGAAATCACAAGCCCTCCCACGCAAGATCTGCACCAAGGCTCAAGGGCAGAGCCTGATTAGCCAGGTATAAATAGTATATTCTGGAGATTTCCAGAAACCTACCCTATGAGTGGCTTCCTTTAAGGTCTGCCTTATCAGATCTGAAGGCCCTCAGTATGCAACCATGGTTATGCTGTTGTCATGGACGTTCTTGTAAAATCAACTTGAATCAATATCACAATGAATGCAAAAACCATCCCTGGAAGAGTCATGAGTCATTTAAACCCACACCCTCCCCCCAAACCCCAACCAAACAAAAACCACACACACTGACCCACAAGTTCAGCCAGAACAACCTTTCTTAAACCAAACTATGCTTTGTAAACCATCCCCACTATTTTATTTTAAGTTCTGCAGCTACCAGGAGCCTGTTGCAATAATTTTCACCCTATAGTCATCCTGCAGAACTTCTACAGAGCAATACATGTAACTAAAACACCACTCCTTTTGCCAGATTGCTGCAATTCACCATTTGATAGTCTGCCCTAAATCAAAAAAGATGGAAAACGTGGAGTTTTGCTTTGCCAAACTGTCGGCTTCCCTTTTGTTAGCAACTATGAAGTCCAAGTCAAGTCAGTCGTCAATAGCCATAGAGGTTAAACCACATTATAGCTATAGATGTGACTGCTGCTCTCATGTTATAAACCATCCACTCCTGTGCAAACATAACTGAGAAACTGCAGCCATGAGCTGTGGCTTTACATCTTTTTAACCATAAAAAGATGGATCAGTTCCAAGCCAAAGTCCCCGGCCTGGAAATCTCTTTTGACTTGTGTAACAGGAAACAAGGCAAAGCAGTTAATATGTGTCCTTCCCAACCTGCCAACCAGGTACTGAAAATGTGTTAAGGGCCTGCTGTGTCCTGAACATCCCGTATGTCGTCTACACGAGCTCCATTGCTGCAGTGGGACCCAATACTTCACATGAGCCCATGTTCAGGTAAGGCAAAGCAAATCTTCTCCATCACTTTGGATTTCCAGTTAAACAGCAATGAAACTGCAACCAGATGAAGATTTTTTTGCTGTGGCTACAAAGCAGAAGATATGTGTTCCCCTTCCTGTCAATTCCTCTTCTCGTTCTTGAAAATCCTCCTTTGCTGCTTTTCACTTTCAGGAACCACAGCTCTTCCCAAACTAAACTTGACTAGTAGTGGATGCCACTGATTGAGAGTTGGTTGAGATGTGTGTAACCCAGCTGCACCCCCAGTCTGCTCCCCATATGTAAGGCGCTGCTTCTCTGAGCCCTAAGATCAGTTTCAGATTAGGCCTCAGATGCTTACGGTTTGTGATAAGGTCAAGTTGTGTCCTGCTGTTGGGTCAGAGTTCTCCCTGTCCCCTCACATGGAGTCAATCCAAAGGGTAGGTGATGCTCTACTGGTAGCAACTGGTAAGCAAGCCTGTACCCAGCTCCTATTGTCGAATGTGGTAAAATGTATACAGACTATTTTAGCACTATCCCTGAAGAAAGTTAGTAGGCCACATGGTCTTAGGGGACAGATGCATTTGGTGTGAAGTTGCCCTGCAGTATTTGTGTGTAGTTACACTCTTCTGTGACTTGGATCTGACCTGCAAATTGCACCCTTCTATCCCTCAGCATCCTTTTTTTCCTGGCAATATGCTTACAAGGGCTGACTCCTGGACTTTACGCTTTTGGACATTACTCTGAACCCATCTCTTCTGTATGTGGCTCCTATGAGACTGACCCACAGATCCAGAAGCAGCAGCAGAGCTTTAGAAAACCTCCTGTGGCAAAGGTGGGACTTGAAGCAATACAAAGACAGTGGTCAAAATTATGATTTGGAGGGCTTTTTTGCTTATGGATCTTTGACATCCAGAATTGACTTTCACAGTCAGCTGACACCCCTGCTCAGGACTCAGCATCTGGATACCTTTTGTACTTGTGGTGCAACAGTGCTTGCACCTTGAGAACTGCGCTGATATCTCTGAAGGACAGGAGCTGAAATTTTAGGTTACATTTTAAGTCAAGTAGAGATAGCTGCAGTCTGATATGTGCCACTGTAAGGCTCTTTGCTGATTTCAAGCACAGTTGTAGCCATACAGACTGCTCAAATCATGGAAACTTGTGTGCAAGGGGAACTGGCTCAAAGTGAAGTTTCATCTCTACAGGCCAGTCTGGACACAGCTGGCTTCAGTCATTTAGCTCTAGAAATTTGAGCCTAGCTCAAAAAGGCTGCTTAAGACATAACTTAAAATGACCTATGAGCCTAAATCTCATAGTCACAAGTAAGCTAAGGCATAAGCCGGTAGTTTTGAAAAGAGTTTAAGTATCCAAATCTGTAGAATAAATGTCTGGCTTACAAAAAATCCACGAGAGAGCAACAAACCTCAATGCACTCGGGACCATGAGCACTAGAGGCTCTGTGTCACTGAAAAGCTATGGAATTTGGTCATTAGCATATCTAAATATTAATGTAGGTATAGCCACATCCTTGTTAGTATTTTAGTCCTCTGACTTGAGAGAGATGTGATTAGATGTATTGAAAAATCTATCCCAAATCTTGCCTGAGAGGACAGTCCTTTGGCTTGTAATAATGGCACCAGCGGGGGCAGGCAAAAACCCATTTGGGCTGATGCTCATGGAGCTACACGTGAACATCCTCTGCCCACCACCTCCCAATCCTCCTCCACCACAAATGCAAATAAAAGCACCACCGCCTTTAACTCATTTTGCAGAACACACTCAGGTTCTCCCATGATGCTGTGAGAAAGCCTAAGAGAGTCATCCTCAGTGTCCAGTGGTTCTGATTTTACACTAAGGAAGTCACAGAATGCAAACTGAGAGAAGGATCAGACTCCCAGTAAGAAATTATACCACTTGTCTCAATAGGGAGCCCAGTGAAGACTGGAAGGCATCCTAACACAGCTCTGTTTTCCAGACTGAAAGCACAGGTGATGTAGCTTTCCCCTTCCTCCTCTTCACATGTCCCCCATCCCTACCCAATCTGTTCTGCTCTTCCTCACAGTCCGTGATCCTGTCTGCCTGCCTTTTTCTCTATTCCCCCTTCTCCAACATTCCTTGTATAATTTTATTTAACTCACTTTTACGTGCTTTGGAATTGACACAGACAAAGCATGATTAGTCTCTGGACAGAGTGATGGGTGCAGGGATAATGCTCACACCTCAGCATCCGACAATAATAGAAAATGCCTCTGTCAGTCTCAATCCCTCTGAGACAGCCACTGCTGAGATACCTTCTGACAATGCTGCTCCAGTCTTATTAGTGTTCAGTTATCTGTGATCATTTTGAAAAGTAAGAGCATTATGCTGAGCTCTTTGTTACTACCGAGCTTCAAAAGGGGTGGGGGAAGGCAAACTCGAGCAGAGCTCTGCAGCTCAGGATCGGTGGGCAGGTTTGCCCCTTTGTGAAGCTGCTGCTTTTTAAAAGCTTTGCAAGGCAAAAAATAAATTCGGATTTAAAAAAGAAGGTAATTAAAACTAGAACTTCTAGATAACCCCCCTAATTGTCTTGGGCCTCTCCCAGGCTTGCAATAACTCACACACAATCACTCTTTTGTCTTGCTTGTTTTCTGGTTTGTCTCTTGCTCACCACCCATGCGCACAGGGAAGGGGAGGAGGGTTTTGTGATAAAAGCCCAGGGTGTGCAGGGAGGCTGCATTTCTGACAATTTATTTCTGTTGCTGCAGCAAAGAAGGCCCTGATCTTAGCTGGGATATCTGACACACAAGATACTAGACTGTCAAACAGGCAAGGGAAAGGCAACAGCATTATCCACGTTTTATATATCATAGAATCATAGAACAGTTTGCGTTGGAAGGGACCTTAAAGCTCCTCCAGTCCAGCCCCTGCCATGGGCAGGGACACCTCCCACCAGCCCAGGCTGCTCAAAGCCCCGTCCAACCTGGCCTTGAACACTGCCAGGGAGGGGACACCCACAGCTTCCCTGGGCAACCTGGGCCAGGGCCTCACCACCCTCACAGGCAAGAATTTCTTTCCAATATCTACTCTAAATCTACCCTCTTCCAGTTTAAAACCATTCCCCCCCTCATTCAATCTCTATCTGCCTTTGTAAACAGTCCCTCCCCAGCTTTCCCATAGGACTCCTTCAGAGACCAGAAGGGTGCAATAAGGTCCCCCAGAGCCATCTTTTCTGCAGGCTGAACAGCCCCAATGGAGCCTGAGTTGGAGCTTGCTCTCCAGAGGCCCAGCATTTGACAAAAAGACCTCTGCTGCAGATCTGCTGCATAAACTCATCATAGGCCACTTAACTCTCCAAGAGGTGCACCCGAGCCCCATCTGCTAAAGGAGCATAATTTTGTATTGCCCTGTGGGGAGTTACCCCATGCCTGTGGAGTCTGGTGTTTGCCTAGGGTAAATTTCTCTAGGAGAGCAAACTATCAATTAATTATTTTCAAAATGTGAAGAAAGTCTCCTGCAGTGCACAGGGTAGAGAGAACGAGCTTATCCTTGCTACTCATGACACCAGGGGAGCAAGTGCACACATGGTCTTCATGAATGGTCCTTTCCAATGCACCAAACAACATTTCTTCACTTCCCAGCTCCTCCAGAGCTCACTGAATCTGCTTAAGCAAATCTTGCAACAAACTAATAGTGACCTAGAACCACTGGGACAAAATGTAAGTGACCTGGTGGGTAACAGCCACTTTCTTGGGTCACCTTGGAATTACTTCAGGGCCCGTGAGGCCAATTACATGTTGGAACCCATGGGCTTCCCTCCTTCCAGCTGTAAGTGAGGAGGCTGAGGAGTAGATTGTCTTCCTCCATAGGGGCAACCAAGTGCCCCCAGCATGGCTGCAAGCCCTGCTTGCCCTTAATTATGGGTCTACTTCTTTGCTCTTCCCCTCAAGTGTAATTTGCTAGGGGAGATGAAGCAATAATCCCAGCATAAACCCACTGATTGTATGTCTCCCAGGAGATCACTAGCAGCTCTTTCACATCACTGGCCAATGTCTCCCAGTTCTAATCAACTTAGTGAGAAAATTAAGCAGCAGCTTCTTTTAGTTTATACCTCATGAGAGGCTTTGCTCTACCTCTAATGAAAAAACAAACAAAAAAACAAAAGGACTGCTCTCGTCTTCCCACCCTCCATCTTCCTGTGCTCTTTCCACCTTATTCAGCCACTTGTGAGTCGCTTAAAAAGGTAACTCTGCTGCCTTCTAATTTGCCTGCCAGAACATTGTTTCCTTCAATTGCTATTAGACGAAACCAAATCCACCTCTTGGGAACCAAATCACCGCCCTCATGCAAACCTGCCTCCTCCCTGGAGGTGTTCAAGGCCAGGTTGGACAGGGCTTTGGTGGGAGGTGTCCCTGCCCATGGCAGGGGTTGGACTGGATAAGCTTTAAGGTCCCTTCCAACCCAAACCATTCTATAACTCTATTATTCTAACACTGCTTCTGCCTAACCACACAGAACTGCCGGGTATTTCTGAAGGTGTTATTTCTCCCAAACTGCAGCAAGGATCTTAACAACTCAGTGCCAGAGCTACATCCCTGGAGAGCAGGGACTGCAGAGTAAAGCATGTTCCAACAAACGTCTCCAAGCACTGTGCTCTACTCCATGGTCACTCACCATCTCTCACAATTTATTTCAGAGGAAATGAGGACACCAAATACAGTGGTGAAGTGGAGCTGCCTTATGGGAAGACAAAGGCCATGGCAGAAAAACTTGTATTGGAAGCCAATGGAAAAAAGGTACAAAAGTCAATGGTAGCACCATTGGTATTGCAGCACGGGATGGGTGAAAGGAGAGAGAAGGTTAGGAAGACCCGACAGCTCAAGTGGTGTGTATCCAAGTGCTGCTTTGACTTGATTCATAAACCTTACTGCCCTAAGCTTACCAAAGCCTGATATTGCCATATCATCAGGAAGCTGCCAAACTCTCTCAGGATCAAAGGGTGCTGCCCTTTGAGCATGTGCTTTAACTTCACCAGCAGCATGCCTTTGGAAAGCACTGTGTTAAATTAGGGTCTAAGAAACCAGGTTCACCTCATTCATACTGCATAAAGGTGTGATTTTCAGACATGCCTGAGTGATTTTAGAATCAAAAATATGAGTGTACCCAGAGTCAGTCACCCACCTAAGCTAGCTGGCTTGTCTTTTTAGACTCCCAGTATGGTCAGCAGACAGACGAGTTCTAGAGGATGAAAAGACATAAAATGAGACTTCTGTCCTAAATCACTGTCTGGAGCACCGCTCTCTCCCATGGCTTCCTCTGCTACCTGATTTTGGTTGTTGACTTGTTTATATGTCACAACTGCAGAAGGGTTAATGCCACTAGCACCTTCCATCCAACACCTCTCAGTGAGAACCACACGGGTGCAGGTGTGCTATGAAATGCACTTCCTTGCATTTTTAGGGACCCAAACCAGGTCCTAGCTGTCCTGTCACTTGTGGTTGACTTCTCTAGCCAAATTTCCCCAGGTTTAGTCTTCATCTGACACTCCCAGGATCACTGTGGTAGATTTTATCTCTGAATTCACTACTTGCTAACATCCTTCCCTGATTCTACAGCTGAGCAATGGTGCTAAACTCACAGCATGCATTATCCGTGCAAACACAGTGTATGGGGAGAAGGCAACGTTTCTTCAAGAGTTGTATTTGCTTGCCAAAGCCAGGAATGGTGTGTTGAACTACCTAGAGCCTGAAAACACAGAGCGCAACTACACATACGTGGGTGAGTGAATGACTGATCTCTTTGCATGTGGTGCTAGCGGGCTGTTTCCGTCACAGGGGGTGTTACACGTCAGCTCAACCATCATCTTCCAAGAGAGAGACATGAGTATGATGAATGCACACAAGTATTCTTATAATCACAAAACTTAGCCTGGGTAAAAGAATTTTTAAAACAGTTGTTTACATGCTACTTTCTCCTGGGAAGGGTTTTCTTTTTTTTATTTCCCCTCATATTCACATAGGGTGAATGTTGTTTAGATAACTGGAAAAAAAGTCAGTGGAAAAATGGATAGAGACTTAATCTTTCCTTTTCTAGGTAAGTGCTTCAAGGGATAAATGGGGGAAGAGAATGATATTCAGGCAATATTTTTAATTTTTTTTTTGGTGTGAAAAGACTTAATTTCTTCTCCATTAGAAGAAATTAAACTAACACTACTTGTAAAATTCCTTTAAAAAAGGCTGTACTACATAACTGATTTTAGCAAGCACAAGAAACTACTCACAAAACCTACAGAAAGAGTTTGTTGTGGTGTTGAATGCATTTCAGGGAAGTATAACTCACCATTAAATCATGCGGGTTTCAGTTATTTTTGTGCAGCTCACTTACATGTCTTTTTTTCCAAAAGTGCAGATAACAGTAGTTTGGAAATGCTCTTAGAGACGAATCAGGCCTAGATAAATCAAGTGACTTCTTCAAAGGCTCACAGCAGAGTCAGGAATAAAACCCTCGAGCACTGCCTCCCATTCATCCTGCTCTCACTACGAAACACTGCCTTTTCGCTTCACATGAACCAGTATCACAAGGCACATTAATTGTCCAGCCCAAAGGGGACACCAGAGGTTTAAAGAATCTTGAAGGTCTGGATTAACTACTCAGTCTCCCTACAGCACAGCTGAGTAACACAATGAGTGCTTTCCATACTTCACAGCACCAAAGCCAGCAGATCCAATGTACTCATTCTACAGTAAACAGGAAAATGTAGCCCCTCCTGAATACCTGTTTCTCTCCCCCTTTTATTTCTCCAGGGAATGTTGCATGGATGCACGTTCTCGCAGCAAGGAACCTGCAGCTGAATCCAGACTTACTCGCAGGACAAGTGTATTATTGCTATGATGATACTCCAACAAGAAAAGGTTTCCTGGTCAGGTATCAGCTGTTGTCCTCCATGGACCCCTCAGTAAGACTGGGCTCACACATCCCTTACTGGAAGATGTGGTTAATGATACAATTGCACAGAATAATCAAGGTCCTCTTGTACCCTTTCTGGAAGCCGCAGCCTTTCCTAAACTTCCCTTTACTGAACACAATAGTCACCACCTTCTCCTATGAGACAGACAAAGCTTCCAGGCATTTTGGGTACAAACCCCTCTTCTCCTGGAAAGAGAGCAAGCACAGAACTGCACAGTGGTTGAAAGCAGCTGCAAGGAACCTGGGACACCCCCAACTTCATGAAAAGGAGAACTGAGCAGCATGTAAAGAGAGGTAAGGTAAAGGGAGCTTATCACACCAGCAAGCTTCATCTAAACTTCACAACATGCACAGATGTTTGGCAGAAATTTTGCAGACGCCAAGAAGTCCTGATACAGAGACAGAGTGAAATTCTCAGGCTGCAAGTATATAACCTTGTCACGCCATTAATGCAGCTATTTTTAGTGTCTGAGAAGCACCAGGGTGCATTTGAAAGCATCCTCTTGCAGGCATGTGCACACAGATGCAGGGCTTGCTGATCTCACTCATTCCCACAGTGCCACCTCTGTGCAGGGATCACTCGCAGGAACAAGAGAAAGAGATTCAGATGAGAGACGGTGCACAGTAAACAACTTTTTTCACACAATCACAGAATATGAGGAGTTGGAAGGGACCTCAAAAGCTCATCCAGTCCAACCCCTGCCAGAGCAGGATCACCAGACCAGGTCACGCAGGAACACGTCCAGACGGGGTTTGAATGCCTGCAGAGAAGGAGACT